GCCATCATTTGGGACTGAACCAGCTGATATAAACTTGCACTGACAAGGGACATACTTGTTTCAAATTACTGAGAGAGTTCAGCTGGTGTCTTGCCTTTTTACACCTCCCTTTCTTCATGTGTTCAATACTTTTTCCCTGTGCCATTCCACATTATTACAAATAACTTCATTTCTGGACATTTATGGTTTGATTTCTTTGTATGTATGGATCACTTGGGTTGTTACCGACATCTGGTGAAAATGTCATATAATTAGCACCTCTAGTAATATATTTGCTGAGAAAAATTGTGAYGTGTTCAATACTTATTTTACCCACTGTATTAGTAATACAAAACAACAGCTCAAATACTGAGTCTAAATTTTTATTGGTTAAAATCCTCTATACGGGTTTGATGCCAGCAACAAATGTGAAAGAGTTGAGTCATTTATGGGACTTATCTTATTGTTTTCTTTTGGCAATAAAAAGAAAACATTAACATAAACTAGAATGGCTGTTGGTCTTTTCCAAAGTATAACTTTTAACGCTAATATTGATGTTAGAAGTAGATTAGGGGAGAACGGGTTGGTTGTCACACTTTTTACTTTCATCTAAATAAAAAAAGAAATGCCATGCTTAGTCAATCTACCGGTAATTTCAATGTGTAATGGAACCCCAAAGTGTCTTTTTGAAATAGAAGAAATACAACCCTCTCAGGAGGATTCATTTAAAAAGATACTGTATGCACTACTAAACATGACTTGTGCACTTGTGACAACCAACCCCGCGATGGTTTTCCCAATTATATTTCAACRAGAAAAAATTTAGAAAAAGGCTTTTGAAAATAAATATTAATTTTAATAGATTTTTTAATTTACAACATTTAATTTAATATCTTAGCTGATAAAAAACATTTTATATAGGGAACAACATCTTATTTTCCATAAACTGATTGAACTTGTCAAAAATTAGAATAAAAAACAGATTCAAGTTGTCTGCATCTGAACAGAATAGGGCCTATCCATTTTATTCAGTCATTGTCTGCATCACAGTTCTGACAGATGTAAAGAGGCTGTCCTGGTGTATCTCACAGGCACCAACTGGCCAATTTCATCCCCAGAAACCTCTGATGGACTTCTTGTTTGTAGTATCTTGCCAGTTTGATAATTGATATTAAAGTCCTTTGCTGTACTTCAGATAGATTTGTGCAGCAGTTTCACGGTGCAGACTGCCTTGAGCATCACGTCAGGTGGTGTCTGGTCATAGCTGGTCATGTGACAACCAACCCCATCAGAAACTTTTTGCTAGCAGTTGTGCTAGCAAGCACATGTTATAGTCTAGCAAAGAAAAATAACATTCTAACTATAGCTCTGCCTTTTTACTTTCAAATGCCAATAAGTGTTTAATTCTAATCCATTGTTGAAATGCAATTCAAAATAATTAGAAAAATAATCAAAAGTTACATTATGGTGTGAAAAACACATTGGGCCTCATGCAAGAACCGTTCGTACGCACAGATTTGTTCTTAAGTTGTGCGTCCGAGTGATTTAGGAGAATTTGTGGCATTCACCAGTGTTTTC